AAAAGTCAGAATTCTGAGAAAAAAGTCAGAATTCTGAGAAAAAAGTCAGAATTCTGACTTTTTTCCCGTATTAAACTGAAATAAAATTTAAAAATCAGTTAACTTTTTTTTTTCAGTAGCCCTAATTCTCTTCCGTACTCAACTGCTCTGATGCCCCTAAAAGAAAAAAGAAAAATGTTAATTGACTTCATTTTAATCTGAAATGACCACAATTTAATGACTTTAAAATCATTCATTGTAATTGTAGACCATGTTTATTAAATAATCTTTAAAATCAATTTAAATCAAGGTGCCAAACTGAAATCAAAGAACTCCTCCTAGATCGTCAGCTTAGATCGTCTGAAGTCTCCATGGAGCCCTGAGTTCTAGTTCAACATGGCTGCCAGAAGGCTGCAGAATCGACCTGTTGATTGGTTTGTGCCACATTAGAACCAGCCAAACAGCACTATCCCAGTTTGTACGGATCCTTCCTTCACTGTTTGAACACGAGAGACGACCCGTTCAGGTGGTTCTGTTAATACTGATCAGTCACCTCAACCCTCAGCAACTCCGTCAGGTTTTCTTCTGTGCAACAGGTGCTTGGCTCCATTTTTAAGGGTTTCAGTTCCGGCAATGAACCTGAAACCAGCAGGATTTATCCTGTTCTCAGACGTCAGGCCACTGAGCGGGACATGTTCCCAGATACATGCTGATTCATGCAACAGCTGATCTCATCCAGTGCAAAGCATCTGAAAAGAAAATCAACTGGTAATTTGAGGAACTCCCACTGCATTCTGTGTGCATGTTAGCCATAATTGAACTGAATTTATAGGGCAACTTAAATGCACCATAAAACACAGTCATCAGCCCCCTCCCCCCCATATGTACCCGGGGCCAGAGATGATGGTTCAGTCCAGCACTCTCTGACCTGTGAAGTGTTTCTCTGGCTTATTAAATGAAGTTCGGATCAGAGCCGTGTGGAAAAGGGAGTAGCTTGGTTACATAGCAGCATCGTGTCTGAGGGAACATGGCAGCATTTTAGTTCAAGTGTTCTGGAACCAGGGTTGGACTGCAGAGCTTCTGCAGCTTCATTTTCCGCCCACATTCTCATTAGGCTTGTGCAAACCCTGACCAGGAGTGTAGCAGTCATAGTATTATTGTAGAAGTTGTGGTGAGCCAGCATCAGGAACGGATCATGGACAGCTGACAGACCTCAGCTGGACAGCAGATTCTCAGCTTCTTCTGTTTCTGCTGATTTATCCTTTGCGCAAATTTAAGGCAGGAAGTTAGTTTTAAATAGGTCTCAGTCTGAATTCAGTCCCCCTGCACAAAGATTCTTTTCAGCAGTTTGGGAGGCCTGGAAATGTCCATCAGACCTGAAATAATGAGACAAAGTGAAGACCCATGTGTGCTGCGCTACGCCATGTAGATGAAGGTGTTTATGTCCGTCTCGTCCCGCTTTATGTACTTGTGATCTATCAGCCACTCTATCTGCTCCTTGATCATCTTCTTCTGTGGCAAAAACATGTTCTTTAGGATTTCCACCAGCTCTGTCTGCAGCTGTGCATTGTTGATGCGCTTCCTCATCTTCATGATCTGGATGATGGCCTCCTGGATGTGGTAGAAGAAGCCAGAAAGGTTAAACCACATCCCATCATGCTTTAGTTACTGTGAACCAGGCGGAAACTCATCCTTCATACCTGTGTTCTGAGTATCCTAAGCTGGACGATGCCCTCGTTCTCCTCCTCTCTCATTCGTTCTGTTGTGAGCTGCAGCCGACCAATCAGGTTAATTTTTCCTCTTTTCTGAACCTTTGAGTTTTTTCTGGAAAGATTTAAGCAAAATCAATCAGTGCATAAGTGTGAGCATGCAACAAACATATGCTGTCTTGTTCAGGTTTGGAGGAATTGACCTGAAATAGGGAGACAGAGCACCCAAACAGAAGAAAAAAAATGAGAAGTCAGGAAGTCCACAAACTGTAGTTAAAAGCCTTCAGCTGATCCAAAATGCTGCAGCTAGAGTTCTGATGAAAATGAAAAATAGAGATCACATCTCGCCTATCCTGGCTTCTCTTCATTGGCTTCCTGTTAAATCCAGAATAGAATTTAAAATCCTCCTTCTCACATTAAAGCCTTAAATGGCCAAGCTCCATCTTATATCAGAGATCTGATTGTTCCTTATGTTCCTAACAGAGCACTTCGCTCTCAATCTGCAGGTTTACTAGTGGTTCCTAGNGATTCAAATGTTTTCTGCAGTTCGAAGTTTCTGATGACTTCCTATCACATGTTCACATGTTCCTCAACTAATTTGTGCTTCTTTTCCTTCTTGCAGTTACTTTTACTAATATTTATTACTTCATTTAGCAAAAAAAGCATTCCCACTTTGCTGTTTCTGCGAAACAGCTTTTTCTAGTTTAGTACAAAGATTGATGTTTAAAAAGGAATTGTAGTGGACCAGCCAAAGGCCCATCAAGGAAAGTGGGGACATTTTGAATGGATAGGACTTCATAATGTTAAGCTGACATATTTTCTTGACTGTTCCTGGTAATCTATTGTTTATAAATCTTACTGCAGGAGATTTTCTCCTTCTTCCTTAACACAAAGCTTTGTCCTGTAATCTGTAATCATAGGCAGTTTTAGACCAGATTTGCTGTGCTGTACTTTGGTCCCCTCCTCATGGCTTTCACCTGGGTCTAGGTCTGGGAGTCACATGTTGTCTGGTCTATTTGTAAGTTAGAGGGAGTTAAAACTGTCCATTGAAGGCTTAAAGTCTTATGAAAATACCGGCTATAAACACTGATTTGAATCATTAAATGCAGGTTTGATAGTTAAAAGGTTTAGAACGGTGATGAAGTCAGTAACGTTTTGCCTCTCTGATCTTCAGGCTCGTTTAACAGCAACCTTCGTCCTCCTGAGACGCTCTTCAAAGTTATTTTCTGGCTGGGATACTTCAACAGCTGCCTGAACCCCATCATCTACCCTTACTATAGCCGCGAGTTCAAACAGGTAACGGCTGATGTTCTGATGAAGCTCAGCTCCGCTGCTTCAGGCTCTTTCTCTCATCCCTCTGTTCCCCACCTGCAGGCCTTCATCCGGATCCTGCGCTGCCGCTGGAAGACCAAACGTCAGGGCTGGCAGGCGTACTACAACTATCGCTGCCAGCAAGGGTCAAACACCTCGTCTTTCCTGAACGGCAGCCAGCAGACGCTGTCCTCTGTCAGCCACAGCCCCTGCTTCGTCTCTACCAAGCTCCGCCCCCCACCGTGGCCGTCCTCTAGCAAACATCTGCTCCCCGGATCGGCAGCGAGACCAGGTCCAGGACCTCTGTCTCCCCTTACGAAGGATGCTGGGACCCTGCGAGGAGTTAACACTGTGCACACAACAGGAGAAGAACAATGATACGGAGGAAATCAACTCTGAGCTAACACAAACCTGTTGCAGACAGGAAGTGATGTCAAAAACACACCATGATTTATTGAATAAGGTGCTCAGGCCCATCGACACACCTGCGCCAGGAGGCGGAGCTCCTCAACTTCACAGGTGTAGACAGAGAACCCCAGGCTTTTATTGTGAACCTTTGTGACAGATCTGCTGCTTTAAACTCTTGAATCCAGGATAATTCAAGAACATCATGAAAAAAACAGATTTTTTTTCAGCTGTGAACTGGTGCATATCTTTATTTTATCATCAAACCTGTTCAAGTTTTTTTATGGCAAAAAAGACCAGTATTCATTTTTTTTAAGGAAAGCTAAATGAAAACATCCCAACTAATGAGAGTCTGACGGTACCAGGATGAACAGTCTGTCACACAGATGCTGAAACACTGTTCACCTGCCTATAGCTATTATATATTGTTTTTGTTTATATAAGTAAAACAAATACACCATAACTTTAAAGATGGTAGGGAAAAAAATGTTTTAGTGTACTTTCAGTTCAATTCAGTTTATTCATATAGCGCCAATTTAACAACACGTCATCTCAATGCACTTTACAGAGATAATTCACCAGATTCAGAGTTTTCTATCCAAGGAAAACCAGTTGATTGCGTCGACTCATTGACTTGAAGGCAATCCCTCGCACTAAGCATGCTTGTAGCGACAGTTGAGAGTAAAAACTCCCTTTTAACAGGAAGAAAGCTCCAGCAGAACCAGGCTCAGTGTGAGCGGCCATCTGCCGAGGCCAACTGGGGTTCAAGGAGACAGAAGCAGAGGTACAAAAAGCAACCAAAAAGGCGGCCCTGTCCAGGAAACACACAGCCAGGCAGACAAGCTCTGAGCCAACTCCTGTGTCAGAGGATGAAGAGA